TCTCAATAAGTGCCGGCAACCGGCAAAATCCACCGCCTATTGCATGTTTTGTGCCAGCTATTAATTTATTGTCAAAAATATGACATATGGGAAAATCGCATAGTTAGGATCTGTAGTACATCTTTATTCTACTAACTAGTTCCGAGTCGTCCGCCAGGCGTAAATAATACAATAGTAAATGTAAACCAGTTTCATATCATTTGAGCCTTTGAAACAAAGTGATAAAATCTGTACAAATCGAAATTGATGTTGACGAGGATTGTTTAGACAGCTTGCAAACTCAAACATGAAGAGAACGATTAGTGATTACTTTTAGCTTGAGCCGGATTTACAGTAAAGTAAAGATATTAAGAAAGCTCGGTTAATGTATCTTACATGGATTTAAACTTGTGTGCATTTATGTATTTTATTGTAGAATCGCCAGAGTATAAAGTAATATAAAACACGGTGAAATCAGTCCGCATCTGACTGTTAAATCGGAACCTGGTATCATAGGTACTTGTGGACAGGATAACCTTTGGGTGCCCCTGAGTGGGAGTATCCCGAATGACCCCCCATGTAGTTTAATTTTGATTTATTTTTTATTAAATGTTTATTTAAATTGTTTTCGCTTGGAATATATATGGAAGTTACTGACAAACAGCATTTGAGATTTTTGCCGGTCGACTAACTGTAAATTCAGAAATTATTGCGTGCATTTATTATTGCGATTTTGTCATTTTAGACTAAAATGCGATTTTAACTTTTGCGATATTTAGAAAAATACTGTTTAATTCATATTAAAAATTTTAAAATGCGAGTTTAAATTATTGCGATTATAACCCTGTCGCATTTTTTCGCAATAATAAAAACATCGCAATAATTTCTGAATTTACAGTATATGTATATAGAGAGTGTTTTAGTATTTAAAGCAAAACGATTGAAATAAAGAAGGGGGATGGCCAGAATTAATTATTGTATAAAATCAAGTTCTTTTTGTTTCTTTGTGTATTTTCTTTCGGTCAACTATATGTGTATTCAAGATAATGGATATTTAAAATGCACGTTTTAAACAGTTGAAATTGATAACAGGGACTCATATTTGCCCTTTTATTGCTTATTCTTTCATGATTAAATAACAGCTTTGGTAATGGTTTCATTGGTTTTTATTTAAATTTTGGAAGAAAAAACATCAATAACTACCTGTATAGAGTTAAAACAACAAACATGTTAATTTTCAATTGCTATAAGTTATTGAATAATTAATTGAAAAAAAACAAATCAAGTCAAAACATCATAGGAGTTTAAAAAAAAAAAACTTCAAACATTTTACTTCTTAATAACAAAATTATTTATAACTATATACTGAACAAAATAAAATCCAACCCCAATTTTTTTCTAAATAATTAAAAAGCAGAAAACAGATGAAAATTATTATTTGGTGCGGAACTGACCAACTAAATGCCCAAATGACTTTAAAATAGGTGCCTATTTGATCAGATGCCGATTTAACTTTTTCGATAGGTGCCGATTTAACTTGTACCCTCTGACCAAGAGAGAGGATTGTGTGTAACCTGATAAACTGTTGACACTACATAGTTCCTATTTCCTGGATTTAAAATTTATTATTTTTCTAGCCATATTTTGTCAGTTGTTTATTGCAGGTTGACAGTTTCCAAAGGGAACTCTGGTTTCCTCTAAATATAAATCTTACCAGTTTTTGAATGACTGAATAAAGCATAAATTAATGTTCTCAATGAATTATATTTGAAACTATAATACAAAACACAAATTTTATTCAAATAAAAAGTGCTTTTCCCTCCCCATGCAATCAATTCTGGAATAGCCCTTAGTGATAAAGAATTGCAATAAGAAGAACATTGAACATGGAAAGGGGTGAAGCAAGCCGTGTCATATAAAATCTGCAAAAAAAAAATCACATTAATTTTCAATTTTTGAGCAAAAATTTAAATGAGCTACTAAAAATGAACAAATTAACATGAAGAATAAGAGGTCAAAATCTACTCAGAACAGCCAGCAATCTTGATTTCCAAAATTTTCTCGGGGGAAAAAACAAACCGCCAGCTTAACGAGAAGGGGGGATACCCCCTTTCGAGGTCACCCCCTCTCGCTCCTGCGACGCTCAGTTTGGGCCTTACGGCCCTCATGATTGCCTGCTACTTTTATTTTTCTTCCTCTTATTCAAAAACTTATCGAGAACACTGTTGTGTATTATTTAAAAAATAAACTGCTTCGCTGAGCACAGCTGGATACGCCCGCAGAGGTCCAACCCTGAACAATTGGGGCAAAAATGGACACAATATTCAAGCTTGATACAGGTCTGAATTTGGATTGTAATTAAATATTTGATATATTATAGGTTTCTGAATAAATGTAGTCAAAGAACTTGAAATTGGTTATATGAAAGATTTCTTGCTGTTGTGCAATACACTGTGCTGTTGTGCAATACTTAGTAAATCTGTTGTCAGACTATAAACAAATAAAATCTTATAACTCTGAAATGCAAAATCGGAAATTTATAAAAATCAAAAGGGAGCTTACAAAAATAGATAAAAATTTATCAAAGTCTCATAAAAAATGCTGAAAGCATTTTTGAGTCATTGTCCGAAAACTGGAAAATCACCCTTTTTGTAATGAATAAAACCCCATGAATATATATTTTGAAATTTATAAAAATTAAAAGGGAGCTCATGTCGATAGAAATAAACAATTCACCAAAGTTTCTTGCAAATTGGTGAAATTGTTTTTGAGTTATTGTCTGAAAACTGGAAAATCCCCCCTTTTTTAATGAATAAAACCCCAAAACTTGGAAACAGTAAATCTGAAATTTATAAAAAACGAAAGGAGGCTCACGGCAATAGATATGAACAATTCACAAATGTTGCATGCAAATTGGTGAAATTGTTTTTGAGTTATTGTCTGAAAACTGGAAAATCCCCCCTTTTTTAATGAATAAAACCCCAAAACTTGGAAACGGTAAATCCGAAATTTATATAAAACGAAAGGGAGCTCACGTCAATTATAGATGTGAACAATTCACCAAAGTTTCATGCATATTGGTTAAAGCATTTTTGAATTAATGTCCGACATGTTGACGACGGACGGACAGCGGTATACCATAATACGTCCCGTAAACGGACGTATAATTACTAAAAAAAAAACTTCAGATTACTTCAATAATTCTACTACAACATTCATTTCACACTGTTGCAATTTTTCGTCTCTTAAAAGGAATCTGTAAAGCAACCTTTCCTGATAATAATGAAGTCTATGGGTGAAAAGATATGATAAATTACATTCTGTATATGTCATATGTTCTGCATTTATCATTGAAAGTGACTTATCATGGGCTTTGAGCAACAGGATGGGTGCAACTTATGAAGCAGAAACTAATGCCAGGATTTTGATATGTTTTGTATTGGTTAATCATTAGTTTTCTGAGTACCGGCTAGTGATTTGTGGACTTGTTTATCTGTTCATCTTTTTCCTGATTTCAATGGTCGGTCTTTGACTTAGGAATATTTTTTTATTACCCCTTCGTATCTTCTATCCTTCTTTACAATCCAAATAAAAATCAAGATTAATGTCAGTATCAACAAGAATATGTCCATAGTACATAGATGCCCCACTCGCATGATCATTTTCTATTTTCAGTGGACCGTGAATTTGGGATCAAAACTCTAATTTGGCATAAAAATTAGAAAGATCATATCATAGGGAACATGTGTATTAAGTTTCAAGTTGATTGGACTTCAACTTCAGCAAAAACTACCTTGACCAAAAACTTTAACCTGACTTGACCAAAAACTTTAACCTGATCATGAAGCGGGACAGACGGACGGACGAACAAACGGACGCACAGACCGAAAAACATAATGCCCCTAGGTGGGGCATAAAAATAAATCACTAACAGGACAAAACCATTAAAACAGGAAGTTTAAGCTTAAAGTTATCAGAGATCTTTTATTTCTACCAGACTTGTCGATTCTACATGACTATTTTAACTGATTCCAGTTGCTAGACATTTTAAGAAGAAATACTTCTTAGTATCTAAGTTGCAATTTAAAATTTGTAAACATAGAAATGTAGGGCATATTTCATATGGCTATTCTCCATCCAAAGAGTGTTCCTTTAAATGAAACAACTAAATTTGAATCACAAACAAAATATCTTGAGAAACGGTGCTGTTCCCCAGTTGGTTATTAGGTTATAAACAGACAGATAAAAATCATATCATTTTCAATGCAAATAAAAATGAATATTGACCATCCACATATGAAATTGATATTTTACACTTTGAAATGCATAAATATGCACCCTGGTATAACACTGATGCTGACTGACCAGTGACTGCAGTATTCATTACACTCTTCCCTGCCACTGTGGTTAGGGGACACAAGCAAAGAGACATTTTGACCCATTTCTATTTCCACAATGACAAATGTACATGAGCAACTGGACTTAATTCATTAAGATTTAAAATCTAATACATATTTCATTACTGAGTCATTTTAAAGATAGATAAAACTCCAAAGTTCCCGTGCGAGGAGGAAATTGTTATTTCAAACTATTTGAGCTCAATACATGTTATAACTCTAGAACAACAAATCTGAAAATTGTTACATAGTATGAATTTTATCTTCGTGGAATCAAATATTGTGTAAAAATTCCACATAGAATCATTTAACAAACTTGAGTTATGGCAAGGAGCTTGTCTGGATGGACATATACACAGACAAGCAATGATATATTGTAAAACATTTGTCATATACATACATATAAAACTTGTGGTCACTTTGGACAATGTAGAATCCAGTCTTTTGCAAATCATTTAGGATAAATGTTGTTTACTTTTATACTGATTTAAAAACAGTCTTATATAAATATTTGAGCTATGGGCAAATTTAACTGCTTTACCGTACTAAAGTTCAATTGTTTTCTCTTGAAACCTTTTATGTGTGATATCTATGTTTCACATACAAACTTTAATCTTTACTTACCAGTAATGCATCCTCTTTAGGAAATTTACGTATTTTATAACTATTCTCACATATAGGATTTTTTGGTGCTTTTTTTGGAACTCTGTCTCTAATACTAAAATATTCTCCTATCTTTGTAAACAAAAATCTGGAAATAAAACAGATGAAACTATGGTTTAAAGAAATCTCAAATCTCAATACTTGAATCTGAAAATACATGTACATTAATAAAAGATTTATGATAAATATCAATGAGGTGCATAAAACTTATTACCATTGTTCTCACAGCACTTAGCTTGTTATATATTTCAAAGTTGTCATTATTGTATAAAAGAGCAGGTAATGTGTCTAAAAATTAAATACTCCGGAGTCAAGTGTTGGTAATATACAAATCGTCTATTGATCTACATTTTGAATGCCAGCCCCCCCTTCCTCATGGAGATACATTTATGGTTAATTCAGGTTCCACTCCAAATGTTGCCTAGTTTGGGGGCCCCAGGCCCCCCTTTTTCAAAATCCTGGATCTGCATTTGAATTTTGAGGCAGAAATGCAATTCATTTGTAATGCTTTTAATTTCAATGAAGAAATTTATGTGATTTATCTTATTATTACAACTATTTTACAAATGTAATATTTTTTGATTGAATGATTTAAAAGTTTTAAACTTAGCCTTTCAAAGGGGTAATTAAATTTTTTATAATTTTAATTTTATAAGGTGTATCTAGTCTTAATTATGTAAAATAAAATTTAAAATTCCTTGATATTTCATTTTTGTAGTACATGTATGTTCGTACATTGTACTTTTAAGTTTTCATCTTAAAGAATTTCAAAATTCTGACATTGAGCTTTCCTTCTATTTATTTGGTGATGCTTTTTCCCTGTATACCCGGTAATCTTTACAAATGTGGCAATTTTTCACACAGTTTGGTTGTCACCATGTAACCAATGAGTATCTAAGATCTGAACTAAAACGTACATAAAATATAATTCAAGGAAGCATACAATATTAGAAAGCAACCTACTATTTGTAGGATGCTGCTATATAAGAACAAAAAGAAGACCTCACACTTTAATATGGGTCAAAGATACATAAAATGTAGGTCAAACTGATGTACTTAGAGCAAGAGGCTGTAACTCTCATGAAGACGCACATTTGCACAAAGTTACAAATGTATTTGAATACAATGTATATGCGACTTGGACACAGTGATTCATTTATTAAATTAATTACTCATGATGATGGGTCCTAAAACAGAAGTCTTTTACAGTTAAATCACAAGCTTAAGGACACCAAATTTTCCAATATGTATTTCATATACCCCAGCAAAGTTTTTTTAACTACATGTAGCTACATGCATGTACTACCAATTCTTTATATATTGGTACCCCTAAGTTTGGCTTTGAAAAATTAATAACCGACCACATGACTTGATTCAGATGCCATAATTTCTCTTGCACATGATACTTATGTTATGACAGGAAACCAAATCAAAATACCCTTTTTATGATAATTTAGGGCATTAGTCCAAATTCCAATAACATCAAAATTCAATTTGACCTGTATTTTATGGTTCATGATCAATGACATTGTGATAAAATGTAAAACAATTTTGTCAAGTGATACTCCTATCATCACCCAGAAACAAAACAAAAATTCTAATTTCACGAAAATCAGTATCACAACTCTAGAATGGTAGACGCAATAAAATGCTTCGCTGGGCGCAGCTTGATACGACCGCAGAGGTCAAACCCTGAACAGTTGGGGCAAGTATGGACACAACATTCAAGCTTGATACAGCTCTGAATTTGGATTGTGATTAAATATTTGACACAGCATAGGTTTCTGACACAGAAAGAATGTGGTCTAAGAACTTCAATTTTTTTAATTTACCTATTATGGTCCAATGTCCAAAATCAAAATACATGGTTAGATTCAGCATATCAAAGAACCCCATGTATTCAATTTTTGTTGAAATCAAACAAAGTTTAATTTTGGACCCCAACTTGGACAAACTTGAAAACTGGTCCCATAATCAAAAATCTAAACACATGTTTAGATTCAGCATATCAAAGTACCCCAAGAATTCAATTTTTGTTAAAATCAAACTAAGTTTAATTTTGGACCCTTTGGACCTTAATGTAGACCAATTTAAAAAACGGGACCCAAAATTAAAAATCTAAAAACACGGTTAGATTTGGCATATCAAAGAACCCCAATAATTCAATTTTTGATGAAATCAAACAAAGTTTAATTTTGGACCCTTTTGACCTCAATATGAACCAATTTGATAGCAGGCCCACAAAATAAAAAATCTAAATACATGGTAAGATTCAGCATATCAAAGAACCCCATATATTCAATTTTTGTTGAAATCAAACAAAGTTTAATTTTGGACCCCAACTTGGACCAACTTGAAAACTGGTCCCATAATCAAAAATCTAAACACATGTTTAGATTCAGCATATCAAAGAACCTCAAAAATTCAATTTTTGTTAAAATCAAACTAAGTTTAATTTTGGACCCTTTGGACCTTAATGTAGACCAATTGAAAAAACGGGACCCAAAATTAAAAATCTAAATACACGGTTAGATTTGGCATATCAAAGAACCCCAATAATTCAATTTTTGATGAAATCAAACAAAGTTTAATTTTGGACCCTTTTGACCTCAATATGAACCAATTTGATAGCGGGCCCACAAATAAAAAATCTAAATACATGGTAAGATTCAGCATTTCAAAGAACCCCATATATTCAATTTTTGTTGAAATCAAACAAAGTTTAATTTTGGACCCCAATTTGGACCAACTTGAAAACTGGGCCAAAAATCTAAAATCTAAATACATGTTTAGATTCAGCATATCAAAGAACCCCATATATTCAATTTTTGTTGAAATCAAACAAAGTTTAATTTTGGACCCCAACTTGGACCAACTTGAAAACTGGGCCCATAATCAAAAATCTAAACACATGTTTAGATTCAGCATATCAAAGAACCCCAAGAATTCAATTTTTGTTAAAATCAAACTAAGTTTAATTTTGGACCCTTTGGACCTTAATGTAGACCAATTGAAAAAACGGGACCCAAAATTAAAAATCTAAATACACGGTTAGATTTGGCATATCAAAGAACCCCAATAATTAAATTTTTGATGAAATCAAACAAAGTTTAATTTTGGACCCTTTTGACCTCAATATGAACCAATTTGATAGCGGGCCCACAAATAAAAAATCTAAATACATGGTAAGATTCAGCATATCAAAGAACCCCATATATTCAATTTTTGTTGAAATCAAACAAAGTTTAATTTTGGACCCCAATTTGGACCAACTTGAAAACTGGGCCAAAAATCTAAAATCTAAATACATGTTTAGATTCAGCATATCAAAGAACCCCATATATTCAATTTTTGTTGAAATCAAACAAAGTTTAATTTTGGACCCCAACTTGGACCAACTTGAAAACTGGGCCCATAATCAAAAATCTAAACACATGTTTAGATTCAGCATATCAAAGAACCCCAAGAATTCAATTTTTGTTAAAATCAAACTAAGTTTAATTTTGGACCCTTTGGACCTTAATGTAGACCAATTTAAAAATGGGACCCAAAATTAAAAATCTAAATACATGGTTAGATTTGGCATATCAAAGAACCCCAATAATTCAATTTTTGATGAAATCAAACAAAGTTTAATTTTGGACCCTTTTGACCTCAATATGAACCAATTTGATAGCGGGTCCACAAATAAAAAATCTAAATACATGGTTAGATTCAGCATATCAAAGAACCCCAAGAATTCAATTTTTGATGAAATCAAACAAAGTTTAATTTTGGACCCTTTTGACCTCAATGTGGACAAAGTTGATAACGGGGCCCAAAAATCAAAAATCTAAATACATGGTTAGATTCAGCATATCAAAGAACCCCATATATTCAATTTTTGTTGAAATCAAACAAAGTCTAATTTTGGACCCCGATTTGGACCAACTTGAAAACTGGGCCCATAATAAAAAATCTAAATACATGTTTAGATTCAGCATATCAAAGTACCCTAAAAATTCAATTTTTGTTAAAATCAAACTAAGTTTAATTTTGGACCCTTTTGACCTTAATGTAGACCAATTTGAAAACGGAACCAAAAATTAAGAATCTAAATACACGGTTAGATTCGGCATATCAAAGAACCCCAATAATTCAATTTTTGATGAAATCAAACAAAGTTAAATTTTGGACCCTTTGGACCTCAATGTGGACCAATTTAAAAACGGGGCCCAAAATCCAAACACTTAATACACGGTTAGATTCAGCATATTAAAGAACCCCAAGAATTCAAGAATAAAACCCCATTGAAATTGATCAAGAAATAAGCAATTTATACGAAGTATCTTCTTTTGCACAATACTGTGCAATTGAATATTTCTTGCTATTGTGCAATACTGTACAATTGACAATTTCTTGCTATTGCGCAATATTGTGCTATTGGATATTTCTTGCTATTGCGCAATACTGTGCAATTGAAGATTTCTTGCTATTGCGCAATACTGTGCAATTGAAGATTTCTTGCAATTGTGCAATACTGTGCAATTGAAAATTTCTTGCTATTGCACAATACTTATTATATAATAATTTACACATCCTGTTTGGTGTGTATCTCCTACCATATCATTATTATTTGCTTTTAAATATTAATCAGAAATACCCAACTTAAAATGGAAAATTTTAAAAGAAAAAAAAAAGGAAAAAAAGAAAAACTAGAGGCTCTCAAGAGCCTGTGTCGCTCACCTGATTCTACTTTGGTTTTGGAAATCATGTAAAAATAGATTAAAATCATAACAGATACCCTAATAATTAGTGAGGCCAAATTTGGTTCAATATTGGTCCTGTAATTTAATAAAAAAATCCTGGTGGCCATCTTGAACAGTAAATCGGCAACAAAGTAGCAACACTTAATCAGCACCTCATAAGAAACATTTATGCCATGTTTTGGTTTCATTCCATTCAGTGCACCTCTAGAAGAAGCATTTGTATGTATTTCCCATAGGGTCTTATGTTAAAGGAAGTCCCCCCATTGGCGGCCATCATGGATGAAGGATCAGCTTCACAGTAACAAAACTTAGTCAGCACCTCATAAGGAACATTCATGCC